CAACACTGCATGTAAAGTTGAAAAAGAAGCTTTTGATGACGTTGATTATATGGGAAGGAATTCCATATGCCCACAGAATGAGCCATAGGCTGGTCCTGTGAATGCTATCAAAAACCTTCTCAAAGTCTATGAAATTTATGTAGAGTTGCTGTTGCCATTCTAAGCACTGTTCTATTAAGTTTCATAGAGTGAAGATCTGGTCTGTGCATCCAAGCCCTTTCCAAAAACCAGCTTGCTCTTTTCTGAGAACGCTTTCAACTGCTTCTGATGTATGCTGGACTATGATCTTACACAATACTTTGGTTGGCACAGATAAAAGTGTGATACCACACCAGTTATTACAATCACTGAGAGTTCCTTTCTTTGGCATCTTCACTATAACCCCATTGGTCCACTCATCTGGCACTTTTTCCCTTTCCCAGACTGATATAAATAGAGGGGCTCTAATGGAAGAAGGAGAATGGACTTGAAGTTAATTCACTGGACTGAGTTTCAAGAGATCTGGGTTCTACTGCTGCTTATGTGACTTTGGGCAAGTCATTTAGTACTTTCGGTAGCACAGTAGTTGCTTACTCCTAGTCGTCCTCTTGTGGCCAGGCATGGCGTAGCTGCTCTCTCACTAGGCTAGCATCCCCTGCCTATGGTCCCTCTGGCACTGTAGTGGTGAGTCTGCCAGATGACTTGGCCCTCCAGCCAGGTCACCGTCTTTAGTCTACCCCTTCTGGGTTCTCAATTGTCCCAACTAAAATTCACAAAATGTTGTGAGAAACAAAAGCCTTCTGCCCTCTCTGGGGCTCTTCCATGGACAGTCTTCGGGTCAGCCTGCTGCCCCCTTGTGGGGCTTGACAACAGTTACAATAGGCTTGTACACCCCTTGCCTTGGGGCCGATAGGGGAACCTAGTCACTTCCCTGGTTACTCAGGGTGTCTCCCTGCCTGGAGAGTTTTTCAGTCCCTTCCCTATTTTTTAATCAGGGTCTCTCCCAGGTCTCTGTTTCAGGAGAGCTTTTCTTCCTCACTCTCTTCCCTGCAGTTTCCTTTCCTTTCCCTCCTCTGCTGACATAGGACCCTGTAGGAGCCTTTGTGATCACCGCAGTCTCTGCAAACACAGCTGCAGACTCCTTTTACACAGGAATCACCTGGTTCCTTTCACGTGGACCTAGGGTGACCAGATGTCCCGATTTTATCGGGACTGTCCCGATATTTGCTTGTTTGTCCCGCGTCCCGACCAATGTTCGGTTGGGACACTGGACAAACAAGCAATTTTGCCCTCCGCTTCCGCGCACAGGCGGAGCCCGGAGGGGCTCGTGCTCCCTCCGCCCAGACTCCGCCCCTCCTTCCCCCATTGGATCCCTCCCCAAATCCCCACCCCAGCCCCGCCCCCTCACTGCCCCATTGAATCCCTCCCCAAATCCCCGCCTCTTCCCCAAGCACTCCATTCCTCCTCCCTCCCAGGCTTGCGCCGATCAACTGTATGGCGGCGCAAGTGCTGGAGGGAGGCCTGGGGGACGCAGGGGAGCGCGGGGTGAGTGAGTCCAGCCTGGCCCCAAGCGCAGGCAGGAGGGCAGGGTGGTACCTGCAGGGGCAGCCCCGGGTCCGGCCTGGGGAACCGTCTCCCTGTACGCGCCCATGGGTGGAGGCAGCAGCTGCCCACGCGGGGACTCCGACGGGGCTTCACCTCCCGCCATGTGGAGGCAGCGGCAGACCCGTTCGTTCCCCTGCGGGACCCGAGCGGGACGAGGGGGGGCTGGTTCCTGCTGCCCCCACTCCGGGGCAGCCCGCAATGCTCTGCGGGGCAGCTGGGCGCGGGCCAGGCCCGGGCACACTTGGGGTGATGGGATTGCGCCGCCCCACAGGGCAGGCTGTAGAGAAACCCCGCCCCGGGGCGGAGGCAGCGACAGCCCCGTTTGTTCCCCTGAGGGACCCGAGCAAGATGGGGGGGGGCTGGGGCCTGCTGCCCCCACTCCGGGGCCGCCTGTGGGATTGCACCAGCTGGGCACCTATGGGGGGGAGGTGGAGACGAGGTGAGCTGGGGGGGGGCGCTTTTTTTT